CCACAAGGTCAGGAGATCGAGACCATCGTGGCTAACACGGGGTGAAACCCCGTCTCTACTAAAAATACAAAAACTAGCCGGGCAAGGTGGCGGGCGCCTGTAGTCCAGTACTCTGGGAGGCTGAGGCAGGAGAAATGGCGTGAACCGGGAGGCGGAGCTTGCAGTGAGCTGAGATCCGGCCACTGCACTCCAGCCTGGGCGACACAGCGAGGACTCAGTCTCAAAAAAAAAAGAAAGAAAATCAGTAGTGGAAAATGAATTTTCTTTAAGATCAATCTGTTAAAGTCTCTTTCCTCTAGCTATAAATTCAAACAGACTTGAAATTTCCCATTTCCTCAGTCACATTATGTTTCTATGACTTTCAAGCTTACTCTTTTTTGATATGTCTTCAAATACCCTCTTTGCTTTTGCAAATCCTCCCCTCTTCCATGAGGCCTCCCTTCAACTACACCAGTCCATAAAGACCTCTTCTTTTTCTGATTTGCAAATTTTAGTACTTAACTCTGTGGTAATGAGTCTTATATGTGCCCTTATGGAATATGAGCTATTTGACAGCAGGACTCGTCACATTCCTTTATTTAACATTCTTCAAAACCATTAACAAAGAGCTCAGGAGGTAAGTATGCAATAAATCCTTGGTAATCATTCGTTTCTCCATGAATCCTATACTAAAAGACATAAATGGGTGTCATCACACTCACCGCAACTCAGGAAATATTTATTACCTTGAGAGACAGACTCCCTGAAGCCTCTCATTTATTCAACATCTTTAAGAGAAAGCCACAGAAAAGCTAGGCCTAGTTTTCCCTCAAATGTGGTCAAATGGAAATATTTTATTGGTGTACCAAAGGAAGCACATCACCAAAATCAGTATGTTGAGCTTTCAGTAGAGGCTAGCTAATTTTCTGATAATATTTCATCCATCTGTACCACTTAGCAGAAAAAAAGTAAAAAATCCTGAAGAAGCTAAAAAAAAAATGTTAATGCAAGACAGTGGTTGCCTAGGGCTAGAAGGAAATAGGAATGTCTGCTAATGGGTACCAGGTTCTTTTTGGGGTGAAGAAAATATTCTAAAATTGTGGTGATAATTGCACGATACTGTAAACAGACTAAAAACTACTGAATTGTATGTTTAAATGGTTAAACGGTATGTTATATGAATTATTTTTAAAAGTTAATGAAGTAAGACCCATGTATCATTCTATATTCTATACAATTTTAACAAGCCTGGCTGTCTAATTTTTAACCAAGCAAAAACAAAAGTAAAACAGGAGAACCTAGGACTGCCTTGGGCAGGAACAATGACAGTGTGACAGTCTGAGATCATTCATGTTCAGTGGAAGGGGAGGATGAACTTTACACCACAGTTCCCCTAAAGAAAATCAATGTCTAACCACATACTATGAGTGTTAAACACGCCTGACCCTCAGTTACCAAAAGCATTACCAAAACAAAGGCAGATTATTAGATTGTGGTGATAACTGTACAAATCTGCAAATATACTAAAACTTATGTAATTGTTTACTTTGAAAAGGCAAAAGTAAGTATATGCACTGTCATATGGAAAGATTTCCATTCAACATTCTTATTTAAAAAAAAAAAAAGCAAAGGAAATCTAAGAAGCTTAAAGGTGATAAATCTTTGTTTTTGTTTTTTTGAGATGAAGTCTCGCTTTGTCACCCAGGCTGGAGTGCAGTGGCATGATCTTGGCTCACTGCAACCTCCACCTCCGGGGTTCAGGCGATTCTCCTGCCTCAGCCTCCCAAGTAGCTGGGATTACAGGCCTGTGACACCACATCTCGCGAATTTTTGTATTTTTAGTAGAGACAGGGTTTTGCCATGATGGTCATGATGGTCAGGCTGGTCTCAAACTCCCGACCTTGGGTGATCTGCCACCTCGGCCTCCCAAAGTGCTGGGATTACAAGCCTAAGCCACTGCACCTGGCCTAAAAGTGATAAATCTTAAAGAGCTAAAAGTGATAAAACCTCTACAAATTATTTTCCAGAACAACTCATTCCTACTGGTTCCAAAGAAACATTGTATTATGTAATGAGTTATGTGCTATATGCATCTTTCCTGCTCACTGCCTTCCTTTTAATGTGGAGATGAAATAATACCCAAGTATCACGAGTCCCCTACAAAAGCTATATGATTTTAAAGCAAATAAACTGCCCTTTTCTGATCTCAAAAATTTTCTGGCATTATCACAATTCAGAAAGAAACATTCCAAATTTGGGTGTCCAAAATAATTTCAAATATCCAGAGCCATAAAACTTGAATGAGGACATGGAAAAACTGAAACCTAAACATAGAATCAGTGCCTATCAAATGATGGCCTTTACTTTTAAAAGCCATAATAATAACTCTGTAATTCCTTACTAGTGCAGAGAGAATAAAATGCTCCTCTGCACAGCATTTGCTATGGAGCTCTCATAATCTTTTACATGAACTGGGATTATGCACTCTACAGGACAGAAGCCAAGTTCCACACTTAAAAACACTTACTCTAATGGTTAAATTCTTCTTTTTTTTTTTTAATAAAAAAAGAAAAGAAACCCCTAGGCTTCTGTATTTTACCTTTTCAGATTTACAAAGGCATATCATATATTAATATTCACAGATATTTTTAAATGGAAAAACAACTTACTTTCAACAACTTATTTTTTCCAACAGCATGTTACTATGTTAAAAAAGATTTGACATTATAGGCTGAGCGTGGTGGCTCACGCCTGTAATCCCAGCATTTTGGGAGGCTGAGGTGGATGGATCACCTGAAGTCAGGAGTTCCAGACCAGCCTACCAACATGGCGAAACCCTGTCTCTATTAAAAATACGAAAATTAGCTGGGTGTGGTGGCAGGCACCTGTAATTCCAGCTACTCGGGAGGCTCAGGCAGGAGAATTGGTTGAATTCAGGAGGCAGAGGTTGCAGTGAACCAAGATCACACTACCACACTCCAGCCTGGGCGACAGTGGGGAGACTCCATCTCAAAAAAAAAAAAAAAAAAAAAAAAGAGAGATTTGACAGTACCTTCATTTATCTGGCAATTTTAATTTTAACAAATAGCTATTAACAACAAATTAAATCCTATTGCATGTAAATTATTCGTTGTACCACCACCAGATTTTCTAATTTTAGCAGAGGCCACGATGAAATAGGCTGCCATTAAAGTTTGCTGGGATGAGATTGTAATAAATCTACTCAAAGTATTCAAGTTATAACTTTTAAAGTGCTACAGAGAAACATAAAAGATTTCACTGTATCATCTAAAAATATAACTGTTTTGTCTGATCATTAAATTCTGATTTTCATTTACTCTTTGTATATATTCTAGAAGAAATCCTTCTAAAATATCTAATTAACCATACCCAGTTTCAAAGAAACTGTGAGTCAAAAGAGAAAGACAAGAAGAATTAGAAACCAAGTAAACACGTAGAGAAAATGTTTTGCTGAATTCAAATGCTTTTGCACAAGTATGGTCAGTGTCCTTTATTCCCAGCATGGGATGAAAAACAGGACAGGAAGCTACGAGAGGTCTTGAATTTGGGTTAACTTAATTATTTGGTTTAAAATTAATTTTGGAATGAGATACAAAAAAAATTTATAAGTTTAAATTACCTAATTTTAATGTGATAACCTATTTTACCTGTTTTAAACGATTTTATATTATTCATGCCTCTGTATCTTCCTTATTTGGATAAAAATTCAACTTCCTGGCCAGATGCAGTGGCTAATGCCTGTAATCTTGGGAGACCGAGGTGGACGGATCACCTGAGGTCGGGAGTTTGAGACCACTCTGACCAACATGCAGAAACCCCATCTCTACTAAAAATACAAAATTAGCTGGGCGTGGTGGCACATGCCTATAATCCCAGCTACTCAGGAGGCTGAGGCAGGAGAATCTCTTGAACTAGGGAGGCAGAGGTTGCACTGAGCCGAGATTGCACCACTGCACTCCAGCCTGGGCAACAAGAGTGAAATTCTGTTTCAAAAAAAAAAAAAAAAATTCAACTTCCTATAAAAAACTAAGCTCTGAAATAAGTCGGAGATTCTAACTCTTTCAACACAAATCTGAGAGACTAAAACCAAGTCCACCCAAAACCTAATCTGTTGCTGTCCCTCTCTGCCTCAAACTAAATAGTTTCACCAAAGCCTAAAGGCTATAAGCCAAACTCATGAACATGACTGTCTTCTTCTCCAGCTTTGTTATCTCTGGGCATTCTCCCTCACTGCCTCAGAGGAAGAACTGCTGGACTGTATATACATGTATACAGTATGTGTGTGTATTTATACTCTTTTTTTTGTATTTATGTTTCACACAAAAAAAATGACCTTGGCCTGCCGCAGTGGCTCATGCCTGTAATTCCAGCACTTTGGGAGGCCGAGGCGGATGGATCATGAGGTCAGGAGTTCGAGACCAGCCTGACCAACATGGTGAAACCCCGTCTCTACTAAAAATACAAAAATTGGCACGTCTGTAATCCCAGCTACTCGGGAGGCTGAGGCAGGAGAATCACTTGAACCCAGGAGGTGGAGGTTGCAGTGAGCCGAAATCGCACCACTGCACTCCAGCCTGGGCAACAGAGCGAGGCTCTGTCTCAAAAAAAAAAAATAAATAAATAAAAAATAATCTTAAAGAAGAAACATAGGAGATTTGTTTGTGAAAAGCTGAAACAAATAATTTTTAATTTTTTTAAGAGACAAGGTTTCACTGTGTCA